AATGCCGAGGCGTTCCCAGGCCAGCCGAGAGACATAGTCCCTCCAGCGTGTCCTGGGTCTTCCCCGGGGCCTCCTCCCGGTGGGACATGCCTGGAACACCTCCCTAGGAAGGTGCCCAGGAGGCATCCGAAAGAGATGCCCGAACCACCTCAGCTGGCTCCTCTCGATGTGGAAGAGCAGCGGTTCTACTCTGAGCTCCTCCCGGGTGACCGAGCTCCTCACCCTATCTCTAAGGGTGCGCCCGGCCACCCTGCGGAGAAAGCTCATTTCGGCCGCCTGTATCCGGGATCTTGCCCTTTCGGTCATGACCCAAAGTTCATGACCATAGGTGTATCAGTATCAGTGTTGTATCATTTTAACTAAACCTTCAGTGAAGTCATGATGAATCATAACTTCCCCGTCTGTCTGTTTGTAAAGCTAGTCCTGATGGTCTCTCATTTAATTAAAAAAAACATATTGGGCACAAAATCATAATTTCAAAACATAAGAACTCAAACCACAAACTATTTGGAGCATGCTTAGATATCCCATCAAAATGAAATACGACCGATATTTGAAAGAAATTCAGAATCTGCTATCTTAGGAATGGATTAAAACTGCACCCTGACATACACTGCTAATATGACTGGGTTTTGTACTTTTTGTATGAACCATAATCACCCACTCATCTCTTTTGTAAGAATAATTTTGCTGTAAAACTTTTGGTCAGACATAATTTATTTCCAACAATATAATAATAATAACCTTTATTTATATAGCCCTTTACAAGTCCTAGGAGCACAAAGTGCTGTATAATGAAGCTAAAATAGCCCAAAAAGCCATACAAAAAACAGTAGAACCTAGCAAAATAAAACGCTAAAACATTCTTATACAAACTATACAAAACATAACAAAAAGAACATCTCTACGGGCAAATAAAAGCAATTTAAATATCAAACGCCTGCTTTAAAATGTGAGTTTTTAGAACTGATTCAAAAACCGGTAATTCGGTTATGCACCGTAACTCTTGCGGTACAGAATTCCAAAGTCTGGGGCTATACACAGCAAAAGAACGGTCGCCCCATTTCTTATATCGCGACCGTGGGGCCACCAGGGCCAGGGCCAAGTGCAATACTGCTGTTAAAGGTCTTCTCCTTCCACATGAATTTTTGGAAAACGTTATCTGTCATTAGGCTCATAAAGCTATTATGCACAGCTAGCTATAACCCGGCACATTTCAAAACCGGTTTACATGACTACAATTTGTTTTAAGAAGAAGACACGACGTGTCCTATTTGTGTCCTATTTACCATTTATTCTGTCCCAAATGACCATGAATTCTACTTGTAGAGTATGACCAAACAGTGTGGCGCAAAGACCCATGAGGGAACCGGGCTACATTACCGTCTCTACAGAGTAGAACAGATCTGCAGCAGGACCAGAAGCTAACGTTTGCTAACAGCGCGGAAATTCTACACAGCTGCACACATCGGTTAAATGTTCGGAAAACAATAAGACAGTATTAATTGCAATACCTGCAGAAAGACCGGCAGTAATCTGAGAGCAGTGTTGTTCTTCTTCAGTTCTCACATGTATATTATGACGTCCAACCCGGAAGTGTCACTTTGTAATAAGACGAGTGAAAACAAAATTGAAGAAGGTTCCGAACATGTGACTAGCTACAGGCGCAAGCCACTTCTTCTCTCATCTTTAAACATAATTTCGCATCACACACTTATTTGTATCTGGCACAACAGAAACATCACCTACAAGAACAAATCTGTCTTTTTGAAAACTGGTTTAACAATAACATCATTTTAGTTGCTCAGTTATTTAAATTCAGTGGTCAGTTATACAATTGTTCTGAATTCCTTTCATCTTATTCCATTGTTGTGTCTCCAAAGGTATTCTCCATTGTCTTTGATGCAGTTCCCTCAGGTGTAATGTAATCTCCTTTTGATCCAGGTAATACAACTGTAGGCAACCCGTTGCCCTGACCTCCCACCTGATGAAGGCCATGGAGAGGATTGTCCTCGGCCACCTCCGTGCCCAGGTGAGCTCAGCGCTGGACCCGGTGCAGTTTGCATATCGACCTAGCATCGGGGTAGACGACGCTATTATCTACATGCTGCATCGAGCCCTATCTCATCTGAAGTCCCCCAGAAGCATGGTGAGGGTCATGTTCTTTGACTTCTCCAGTGCTTTCAACACAATCCAGCCATCACTGCTGAGGGGGAAGTTGGAGGGGGCAGGTGTGGACCAACACCTGTCTGAATGGATCATTAACTACCTCACAAACAGACCTCAGTTCGTAAGGCTGCGTGACTGTGTGTCAGATGTGGTAGTCTGCAGCACAGGGGTACCCCAGGGGCCAGTGCTTTCCCCCTTTCTGTTCACCCTCTACACGTCAGACTTCAAGTACAACTCTCACCAGTGTCATCTACAAAAGTTCTCAGTTAGGAAACGTGTTTCCCTGTACAATGGAATTCTTACTTTGCCGTCCACATGAATGTCACAAAATACAAATAAAATATAAAGTAGATAAATAAATAACACAAATTCTAAGGCACTTTAAAGCAGCAAATGAAGAGTTATAATAAAAATATGACAAAATAATAAGAGAATGTACACTGAAAAAAGGACTCACCAGGTCTTTGGATTTACACAAATTATACTAGTATATGCAACGCAATTCATTCATATTTCCTTTGTTAACATAATTCAAACAAGTTAACCCCTAAAGAAAATTATGTTGGTTTTTGTGCAATTATGTGTGTGCAAACAGAATGTAAACAGTACATCACGTATTTCCTGGTAAACTCCTCAGCTGTTTAGGAGCCTGATGGCAGAGGGAAAGAAAGAGTTTTTCAGTCTAGTGGTCCTACATTTCACACTTCTGAACCTCCAGGCAGGGGGCAAAGAAGCAAACAGTCCGTGCTGGGGGTGGGTGGGATCTTTGAGGATGGAGGCAGCTTTCCTACACACCCTGCGGTGGTAAATACTCTGCAGAGAGGGCAGTGGAGTCCTAGTGATCTTCTCTGCAGTCTTTACCACTCTCTGCAGGCGCTTGCGGTCCATAGCAGTAGTGCTGCCATACCAGACAGTGATGCAGCTGGTCAAGATGCTCTCAATGATGCAGCTGTAGAAGTTGCAAAGGATCCTAGGCGACATGCCAAACCTCCTCAGCCTCCTCAGGAAGTACAGCCGCCGTTGGGCCTTCTTGACCAGCTGTGTGGTGTTAAGTGTCCAAGTGAGATCCTCGCTGATGTGGTTGCCCGGGTATTTGAAGCTGAGGGGGGTTGTTACTGATTCTGTGGAGTGGTGTGAGAAAAATCACCTGGTCCTCAACACCAGCAAGACAAAAGAGATGGTAATTGGCCCCCGGCGGAAATCACCAGAACTCATGCCGGTGAGCTTGCAGGGCTCAGATATTGAGGTTGTGGACACCTTTAAATACCTGGGTCTCCACCTCAACAATAAGCTGGATTGGACCAACAACACAGATGCCATGTACAGGAAGGGCCAGAGCCGCCTCCACTTGTTGAGGAGACTGAGGTCCTTTGGTGTGCGGGGGGCACTCCTTTGGACACTTTGATACTGTAGTGGCATCTGCTGTTTTTTATGCTGTTGTGGGTTGGGCAGGAGGTAGCACGGTCAGGGACAGAAAGAGACT